AACAGACATTTACAGAGTACCTAGTAAGGGCCAGACACATGTGAACATGTGACAAAGAATCTGAATATAAAATGTGAAATTCAACCAAATTTTTTGGTAATTGATCGCATAAGTATCATGTCTCCATGCTCCTAAACACATAGCCCTCATTTAGAAGTAAGTTTTCTGTAAGTAAAATGTGAAATTAAATTTAAAACTTAAATATGATCAGAAAGTCTCAAAGGTGGTCAAAATCCCTTGAGCTCTCCAACACCTATGAGCGAGTATTTCCATTCAATGAAGGAGGAAGAGGAGAGAAGAGTTTTCTCTTGTGAGTTTTTCACTTTCAAAAGTGGCCACCTACTCTGAGGTTACCAGCCCCAAAATGTTTAGGTTCTTTGTCATTTAGGCCCTTCCCAGCTAGAATTAGAGTGGCAAGTGCTTTAACAAATAGAAGTAGATTTTGCACAAACAAGCAGTGAGATCCAGGTCCTTGAAGACCTAACACCCAATCCAAGACCCAGGAAGAGAAATGTGAGTCCTAGATGCACAAAGGGTAGCCTGCATGGTGCCTGACATTTTAAGTTGGCTGGAGTGTGGACCTCATGCTAATGCTGTGCTTTTCTTATTCACCAGGTTAGTATATACCTGGGAGCCACTGGAATGAGCTTAATAAAATATGCCTTGTACTGGGACAGTAAAACTTGTCTGATGCCTAGAAAAAGGAAAGTAGAAAGACTTGATATCATTGATATGTTTTAAGGCAGGGAAGGAGATACTATTTAAAGAAAATGACAGACGAGACTGATGACAACAGGTACAGAGAATATTTAGGAAAAAGTGAATTTCTACTTGGCTTTGTGAAATCAGTCTTGGTAACCTAAGAAACATCTCTAACATGTCTCCAGCATGTTTCATTTACTCTTTGGACTTTATTGTTTCTCAAAACACATGAGCAGCTTGTGTCATGGGAAATATTTGTTGTCTGCCCCCGTGGTCACTTCTTGCTTTGAAGGATTTCCCAAGTCATTATTGGGATTTGTCTGGATATTCTATTTGGACATATTCAATGGCTGTGACCATCCTAGGGGTCACAGCCCACCAGCTATTAAATGCTTCTTTTTCAGGTAGGGGGCTAGATTGTTGAACTGCCACACTGCACTGACTTCTCTTACATCTTCTCCAAATCTTCCCACCTCCTCAGTAATCCCTGAAGAGCTGTGTATTTATGACTATTGTTGATATCCTGGGTCCTCAACCTTAATGACTCCCTTAGTTTAGATCTACTGGGTTCTTGGGATCACTCATTCTCAGATGTCAGTGCCTTTAAGAAGGTATCCCAGGAAATGAATGGAAGAGGAACTTCCATTTTCTGTTGTGCAAAGCAAGAAGTTGCCTGAAAATCCCACCTTCTGATAAAAAATACTGCTGGAAACTGGTTCAGTCATGTTATAAAATGGGTAGTCTCTTTTTTCACCTGATACTCTGAGAACAGTATTTCTCAGAGCACAGATGTTACTGAAAAGAAAAAAGAAATCTACAATCAAATAAGTCTGGGAAATACTGGATTAAATTAAATTGGAGAGCTTTCTTTCTTATATGACTTTTTAGATCCTTTGATCTGCTAATTGCCCCAGGAAGCTCGAAGATAGAGTTATAATACGGAGCACTTTCACAAAATTCTTTGCCCAGAGAGTCTTTGTTTCAAGGCTTTCCTCATGGGACTAATGCTCTAAAAGTTACTTTGGGAAATGCTAGTCTAGACTTACAATACTTGGATTCAGTTTCTCTTAAGGAGCAAGAAAAATCACAGTGAAGGAGAAAGGAACATGGAAGAAATGGAAAAAGAATATAATCATGTAAGTACCTGGCAATACTTAAATTGAATTACCTAAGGAAAAATGAGTTTTTTCTGGAAAAGTAACAAGGCAACTGATTTTTCCTATTTCTCCACTTTCATGTGTTCTGATCTCTTAACAAAGCTCAAGAGGCAATATCAACATTTTGTAGCCCTTCTTCCATAAGTCATTGTTGGTCAAGTCTTTAGGGCCACAGGAAGTCCAGTGTTGGAAGATTCACAGAAAGGGAATCAGGAATCCCTGGAAGAGACCTTTCCCCTTTAAGTCAGGTCAGCTAACACGGGTACGTTATGAACATTTAGTTAAAATCTCATCCACATCACCCCATTATTAGGACTCTCATGCTTTCATATGGCTGTCATTTTTCTCCTAAGAAGAAACATATACTCATATGTACCCTAGATGTATTAGTGTATGCGGGCTACGCAATTAAGTGTAGGGTTTGTAATCAATTGGGAAAGATAACTATTGATAACTATTATCCATTGATAACTATTTTATTCTGGGACTTAGATTGGTAACAGTACATATACTGATATACTAGTTGTTGATTACCAAATCTGAAATCTTCAGCACAGGGGAACGTATCATTCCACTAGACCTGCGATGCCCAGTCAAAAGGGGTATCCAGCTCAGGAGATACAGCCATCTCCAACACTGGTGCCAATCTACTCTCACACTAGGGTTCCTTGCTTAATCTCTCCTTCTCTAATTAGAAGAGTCTAGCAAAGGAGCCTTACTGACTTGATGACTTCAACTTAAAACCACAAAAATACCCTTCTGGTCAAGAGTATTTTACTTTCACAGTGAACCCCACTACAGAATAAGTTTCTAAGGTATGGGCCCCTAATTAAGTTGGAGCTACCTTTTATCTGTCTTATTCTGATTGACATGAACCAGATGACCTGGATTCTTATTCTAGGACTAGACAGCAAATGCCTTGAAGACAGGGGTTCTGTCCATCATGCTGTTCCCTAAGTGCCACATCATGGCTGCCATGGAATTAGGTTAGGAACTCGGAACAGAATTCCAGCCTATTCACCCACTTCCTGGGCCCCGCCTTTCTCATCTGGAGAAGGGGATGAGGTTAACTGCCTCTATGCCCATCGGCTGCTTAGAGTGTTCACTGAGATGGTGGATGTGAAAGTGAAAGACCATCACCATCTTCCTAACAGTAGTAGTGAGAAGCATGTGCCAAAGGTCTCAACAATATGTCTTAGCCAGATACTCTTCAAGGAATGCTAACTCTTCTGGGAAGGACACCACCCTGTGACAACCTCTAGTGTCGGTGGACAAACATGAGAGTCAACCAAATAGACAAGACACCCTAGTTTGTGATCACAGCTCTCTGGAAAAGTAGCAGGAGCCTAGCTTTTGTAAGAAATATCATTCACAAGATGTGCTCTGGTGCTTCATTCCCAGTAGAACATATGAGCATATGTGTCTCTGTGATGAGACAAGCTGGTTTGTTATCTCAGCAGGTCCCTGGGTGACCCACTCCCCTGACTTGGCTCCAAATCCTTCTTTCTACTCTTAGGGTGCTCTCTGTTTTTCTCTCTGTTGGGTTTGAGTAGGGGAACTCAGGATGGTCTTCTAGCATGTGTGGCTCAGAAAGAATGGCCAAAGTGGGGACTGCAGGCTCCCACCAATAAAACCTCATACTCTCCCAATCTGAGAGAAGGCCAAGGAGAAAAGGGCAGGGACCAGGGATGAGAATGAGTTGTTTTAGTTAGCAGGATGCCAGGTCTACTGGGGCAGGCAAAGGTGGGGAGGTGGTAGTGGTGGTGGTGGTGATGGTGAAGGGTGATAATTGAATAAATAAAACCAAAACAAAACCAAAACGCAGACATACAAGATAATGACATGAAATTGACACCGCTCTCCATATTTCAGATCTCCAAATCAAGAGCATATTTTGGCAGCTAAAACATGAAATCATGCCCTGTCTGTACTTGGCTTCAGAAATCTAAATTATTTCTATGTGAACAGCTTCAGCAATGTTGGGGTCTCTGAGGGCAAAAGCTTCCAGGTACAAAGGTCAGGTCAAGCTCAGTGCTGGCTGCCTCACTGCATAGCTCCCAGGAGAACTTCTAATGCTGTGTTCTATATAAACAGCTCCCCCAGGACTTGTACTCCAGGTAAAACAACTTGGAAATTTCAAATCTTAACTTCTTTGGGACGCTAGCAACAGGAGGTGAAAAGGAAACAGAGCCACCTGAAAAGTTTTAGGAGCATCACAAGTATCTCCTCCCCCAGCAAACAATTAAACTGCCTCTTCACACAGGTAATTCTGACAAGCCCTCACCCTGCCATATCCAAAGGAGTGCATACTTATCCAGATGGTTCTATTTTGTTACCTATTGCTCCCATCTATGGAAATGTATCAGTTGCACTAGGATCACCAAAAATGGGGGCAGGGGGAGGCGAGAATCTTAGTACAATGAAGTAAGAAATATTGCTCATATTGACTATATTATCCTGCTAGTTTGCATTTAATTTCCTAATTTCCATAAAATTCACCTTCAAGAGTTTTAATACTAAACACTGTAAATAGTTTTTGCATTTGGTGGGTGAATGTAAATATTGCTGTAAAACCACAGGCGGTTTTGTTTTTGTCAATCCATCTTTTCATGTGCTTTACTTAGTCAAGGGAGGAGATAGGGTCCAAATCAAATAAACCAGACTCCTTGACTTCACTGGCTAAAACGCCAGCAAAACGGATTTCTCTCCTTGTTGTTTTACTCCACCATTAATTTGCATCACTAAAGAATTTTCTAGGAAAGTGCTCAGCGAACTCAAGGCTTCTCTGGTTGCCAAGCTCATGGAAACAAAGTGCTTTCTCTTAAAACTCTGAAAAAGACATTCCAAAGTAACCCTCCATGAGATACCGAGCCAGCAATAGACTACATATCTATGAAAGAAGAAAGGAGGGGAGGAAAGAAAATGCATAACATAAACAAGAAAAGACAAAACCTTAAAGAGGAAGGAGAAAGAAAAACATTTAGATTCCTTGACTGATGGAAATAAATACCAAAGCTATTAGTTTCAGTTCAAAGAACGTATCACTTTATGCTGTTTATTATTTCTTGAGGATTATTTATTTTATCTTAAAATATCTAAAGGGTAAAAGGGGTCTTGGAGGTAAGCAGCGATGAAACTGACCTGGTCCGGAGAGGGCCTGTGATTGGAATGTTGCGACCTCCCAGGAGATCGATGGTGGTGGTGATGGTGGTGGTGATGGTAATGGTGATGGTCCTCATCGTAGTTGTCTGCCATCAACTTCATTCTGTTCTGGGTCTGTGCAGAACAAAAACCAAGGAAGATTCCATCAGGAGCTAGAAGATCAGTCAAAGAGATTCAGGGCATAATTATAGTACCTATAGGGATCCCTTTGTTCCTAATCCAGGAGTTTTCACTGTTAGTCAAGTTGAAACTTAATAAAGAAAGCACCATGCCATTAACTTTGGTGAAAAAAGCTTTGTCACATCCTTAAAGCTATTATGTTACATCTGTAAATGTTAATGTACTTCCTCCTTGTGATTTAAAAGGGAAAAAATGGACATACTCTAAGATGATTTGCTTTACATTGTCAAGCAATCACAGAGATCCAGGGCGAGCTTGCAATCGCAGAGTACCAACAATTATGACTGAGATTCTAGACGGACACTCTAGAGCAAGCTGGAGATGGAAGTCCTGGATGGAAAGATGGGAAGGGCCGGATGGAAACACAGAACTACAGATAGACAATGGTCTCACAAGACAAGGCAGAGAAATCCACTCAAAAGCTGCCAAATGCAAATATACTGATGGAGATGGTTTACTGCTATGATGACTTCTTGGGAAATGGCTCTCTATGGACATTTTAACTGATTTTCTTCCTTGAGGGAACTGAGCCAAAGGTACAAAGTCAATGGGAGAAGAACTGACCACTCTAATTTACAATCCATGATGCCTGTCACATGAGGCAACTTGGAGTCATGGTTAAACCCCCAGGGCCACAGAAGCGTACTGCTTTATTATGCACGGCAGGAAATGGACCAGCGATGAACTGGCCTGACAGGCTCTCAGAATCTAGAAAAATGCCTAAAGACCACGGGAAAAGAGCAAACAAAATTATCCAGCTCAGAAAGTCAGGAAATATGGGTCTGATGATAGACCTGCCTGGATTCAAGGGATTCAAGTCCTGGCTCCACCTCTTTGCTGGTTATGTGACCTTAAGAGAGTAAACTATAAACCTTAATTTCCTCAACTCTAAAATGGGATTAATAGTGCCTCTTTCCTTGGGGTTGCTGCTAGGAGCAAATGATGTGATGGACTTCAAGTGTCAGTCCGGTAACTGGCAATGAAAGTCAAATGCTGTCATTACTATAGTTACTGCTGTTACTGTTTGCTATAAGACATTTTTCCTCCTTTGTATGTGCTGCTTCCTTTGCTTGCAATGCCTCCCTGGCCCCTTTCTTCACCTTTAACTTCTATGACTGGCTAACTCAAACTATTTACTCTAGGAGCCTTTTCCTGACCCTGTCCTTGAGGCTGGGTGACACGTGCCTCCTGCGCACCATGGCTCTATAACCACAGATTTATCCGTCTGTATGTCCATAGACCTTGAAGCTATTTCTTTCATCTGCCTCTCCCCAGAATCTCGCACAGGGCCTAGCAGATGTAGATATACAATACATGCTGCTGTAATGTGTGACCAAAAGAATGAAGGGGCCATGATTTTGAGGGATGCTGCCATCCTAGAGACAAGCTGCATGTTTGTTTTCAGCAGGGAGGGTCACGGAGAGTTGAGGACATTTCATGAGTTGCCATAACAATCCCACTGGTGGCTCAAGATGACAATCAACCAACAGTACTTTCAGAGAGCCAGAAGTCAGGGGTTGGCAGAGCCTCCAACCAGTTGGAGTTTTATTATGTAATATAAATAACACACTGACAATAAAGAAAAGTCTGGGCCTAACATTGTGTATTCTTATAGTATTTTTCACATACAATCCAACTTATTCTCAACACTTTCCCAGGAGCAATTATTATCCTCATTTGGCAGCTAGAAAGGTAAGGTGTAGATTTCAGTCCCGAGAGTCTCTTTCTTGACATAGAACATGGAGATTTTCTGGGTCATCCAATTCTCAATCTCCAGGCTTTTTCCCTTGTCTTGCTGCTAGCAGAAAAGGCAAACAGCTAAACAGGTAGAAAGAGATTTCCCATAAAATGCTTTGGTTCTGTTAAGTTTTGGAAACACCTCACATCCCAATTCTATCTGCCAGAGGATGTCTCATGATTTACTCACTCCTTTTTAAAAAATGTGTACAATATTCGAAAGCCCCCAAAGTGAATGTTAAAAAAAAACTGTGTATATGAATAAAAACAATAAAAATAGAGGGAAAGATCCACTTAAAATTAAATTAAAAAATCCCAGGCAACCTTTGGCAGCTGAGAGCATTTCCATCCTTCACTTGTCTACTTAAAGTGTCAGAAGACCCAATGGGCAAGTTATGCTTTGTGAGAAAGAGCAGGTCAGTGGAGCTGCTGCAGACTAAGTACTGAGATTCCCCTTAGTCAGTCTGCCATTGCACATGAGATTCTGAAATTCGGCGTTCACACCTAAAATTCCAGTATTGTCAGGATCCTGTACTTTTGAACTCATGAACTAATAAATCTGGAATTGTTTCTTCTAAATAGAATTCTGAGAGCCTGAGGGGAGCTGTAAGATCTGCTGTGGGCAAGAAGGAAGGGACTCGCTTGAGAATGAAGGATGGAGCCTAAATGAACAAATAATAATTCTGCTATTGTAAACATCGTAATATCCTCATCCTTTGGGGAAGCTCCTGTGATTTTATGAGATTATTTTCTTACCAGCAACAAGCCTAAAGTTCCCTACCTTTGAACTGTATCCCATAAAAGAATGTACAAGCTAAACAAGATGCTATATGCAGTCCTAAATGTGTCTGCTAAAATGAGGTGTTGGAGAGTAGGCATGTCATGGGATAAAGACTGTAAATGAATGATGTCATCTTTCCAATTTGGTGCTGAAATATAAATAAACCACGTTGTTCATGTGAATACCAGATCTGGGGGAAATGTACACAGAGCAATTGTGAGCGGAAGAGGCTTCTTTTGATTAGTCTGGGCTGGGAGAGAAGAGTGTGAAACAGAGATGAAAAATGAGAGTTTGGTCTGATACTCTAGATCGTTTTTATTTATCTTGCTTGTAACATATCCCCTAAACTGTGACCAATTTCTTACTGGCTAGTTGCTGGTGTTCTCTCCTATAAAAACAGTTTGATCAATCTTGATCCTTTAATTGTCAAATTTAAAATGGATCTCTTAAATTTTTTTTTTTTTTTTTTTTTAGATCTGCACTACCTAGCTTCATCCACACCCAATTATGTCGGTTTACACCTAAACAAGGGTCTGGAAAGATAAGAAGTCACAAATAACACTCCCTAACAGTCAATGAAAGAAAAACTACAGAAATTTGTAACAAGGATTGGACACGGATACTGTTTGTTCAAATAATTCTAGGCAAACTTACCAGGTGATCCCATATATAATGGTTCACAGCCCTGTAGCCTCAGATGCTTGAGGTGCCCACTGAAAAGCCCAAAGCAGCAAATCTTCCAGGCAGGCAAAACTAAAAACCCAGGAAAATTAATATAGAGTTGGAGAGGGATTGCTTTCCACAGCACAGCACTTGGGAACTCAGGGACTCATTTAGCGATTCACTGAGGCCCATTTTTATTTCCTTTGCAGTGTCTACCAAACTGCTGACCAGACACTTTTGCCTTTGGCTAACTGTGTTATACTCTTTTTACTATATTATGTCATGACTGTGGAGACAAATCTAATCAGATTTCATTTTCTACTTCCTCTTTCTTCCAGGCGCCACCTTATTTCTCTGGGGCCATCGCCTCCTAACAGCTCTCCTGCCGCACTCTCACCTCCCATTGAACACATTCCATAGCCAGAGTGACATCAGCTTTCTGTTCCCCCCTGGATTCAAGTTCTTGGGAGGCTCCCGCCACATTCAGGAAAATGGCCTGGGTCTTTGACATACTTAGGTATCTTTTGCTAGGTGACTGCTAGTTACTTCCACAGTCATACCTCCCGATCTCCTTGTCCCAGCCTTGGAACATGCTATTCTCTCTCTTCGTCCTGCTCTTCACTCTCTACCCCTTAAACCTGAGTTATGCCCATTAGTTCTCTGGTCTTAGCTTCAACGCCATCATCTCCAGAGATAACTTTCCTACGCCTGCCTCTTTCACTGCTTTCAGCAGAATGCTGTAGCCACTCCCCTGGGTCTCTGCCATCACGGCACTTATCTGAACCAATGGTAACTAACTGCAGGTTCGCTTGGCTTTCTCCACCACTAGGTTGAAAATCTCTTGAGGGAAGTACTACGTGTGGATTGCCCTTGCACTCCCCATCTAGGGCAGAGTCTCATGTCTTAGCTGTTAAGTAAAGGTGTGTCAAAGTATATGAGTGTAAAAGTGGACGGATGGAGAGGGCACACAGGCTACTGTGGAAAAGATAAGAGGGAAGATGTGAGTCTAGGATGAGCCAGTTGAGTATTTAACTTTTGATGTGATAGTTTAACTTTTCCTGTTTATTTGTTTTTGTTTGTTGTAATTCTTGGGAGTGGCAAAGGCAGAGTATGTGCATAGCTTTGGAGCTGCTGGGAAAGTCTAATTGGTCTTCTTCAAGAAATATCCCATTCCTTAAATAATTGGACCCAGTGAAATACTATACCACCCCTTACCTCATTAAGAATAAGGGGTGTTGGGATGTTATCAGTTTCATTTCTTACTATCCCCTAGCGTTTGGGGGAACAGGAGCCTTTAGAAAACCTCTGTTAGTGCCAAAAGTCAAACATGGAAAACTGAAACTTTATCCATTAACTAAAATATCTGATGAACACCATCTGTGAAAAGGTGCCAGATATTCCAACTCTTTTGACATTTCTGAAGAGTTTATCCAAGGAGCTCTTGAAACAAAATGAAAATCCTTGATTGACTAGTAATAGACTCAATTGCCTAATGGCAATATGTAGTGATAAACACGTCGTATTAAAACTGCTTTTAAAAATATTTTAGCAAGGTGGCAATAACAAACTATGCTTTGATCAGTCATCTGGATCAAGTTAACAATAAAACCTTCATGAATATGGTTTAAATAAGAAAAAAATATAATAAGATCTGTTGCTACGGGATATGGAGATAATACTGTACAACAGCAATTACAGTTTTATTCTATCAGGCTTTCTTTTCTTTCCCTGTTTCCCACCAGGGAAATCCCAA